ATGGGCTTTTTATCTGATTTGATGAAAAACAAAGTTATTGCTTGTGGTAGTAAAGTCGAAGCCAGAAAGCATCTACATACGTGCGAGCGGAAGAGCAGGAGGAGGAGCAAGCGGAGTAGAGCTCCAGAAAAGTAATAGAAAATACTACACATCTTTTTTTTTAATTTATAATTTATTTAATACTTGTATTTATAAGTGTGTATACAAAAATTTAATACAAATTATAGGGTGACTCAAGGTGGATGCAGATCTTTGACAACAATTATTTGTGATAAGTTAATGTTTTTATTTCTATTTTTTGTAGAAAATTGGCACTACAGGCTTTGGCAAACTTAGTCATGGACCAATACTCAGTTGAACAACGCGATAAGGCACATTTTCACCTAATTGGCGTACGCTGCAAGAAAAAACTAAGCACCCAAAACTAGTCACTGTTTGGTGTTATTTTTGGGCGGACTCCGCCTCCGCCCGTACTTCTGCGAAAATTGTACCGGTAGCGCTGTTACGGTTAAGGAACAAACAAAACGAACTTTGCATGGCCTAAATTAGACGACATGGACTTGGACAATATACACATGGCTCAAATAGGACGGTGCCAGTTGCCACACAGCGAATGAAACAATCGCCCTATTACGAACATCTGCGGTCTTATTGAATCACCTTATAGTACATATATATTTAATAATCCTCATTATATATTTCATCATTATTACTATAATGCGGCAATAGAACATAGTCATCATTGTCGATTTTGTTGAATTTACTTATCGCGCTGTATTGTAGATATAAACGTTGCTTGCAAAATTCATAGAATTCAATTTCGTTGGTGAAATTTTTGCTAAGGATGTCACGCGTTTCCTGGCTCACTGGTCGCTTTGCTGGATTCTTATTCACAGACGATAAGCGTTCTTTACCCACTGTAATGTTTTGAAAAAAATGTAATGTTTGTACATATGTACATACAAGAGTGATTAGGTGCCAAATTCATATTTGTTTCTTACTGTGGTACACGACTTTTGCATGTTTGAAATATTTCGGTATATAGTGTTCAAGCACTGTTAGCGTTATGTTTGTATCTTCCCACGTTCCAACAACGGCATATTCTTGTTCGACCGTTCGTTTAGCTTTTTGCATTGCCGCAACGGAATTGAAGGGCCTTTTTTTCGAAAGCGAATAGAAGAACAATGATCAATTTAAAATTAACGTTTTCCGCATAAACTTCATACTATTAATACATACATACATACATATGTAGGTGTGTATGTAAGCGCTAGCACAAATACATATGCACTATGCGTGTGTGTACATTAGAGTGGGTCGCAAAAAAATATATAAAGTACATAGTGGTGGTGACAAATTGGTTTCACTACCAAGTAATGGAAATGTATTTCAAATTTCAATACCACTATATGGGTAGTGGTTATAAATTTTTTAACAAATTCGTTTGTAAAGAAATGGTTATTAAATATCACAGATCGCAAAATTTTTCTAAATTTTTAAACTAGTTTAATTAGTCAGTGATAGTGAAATTTTCGTTCCCTTACCACTAACCATATAGTGATAGTGATAATTCTATTTCACTACCACTATGTAGTGATAGTGAAATTTGAAATGCACTACCACTAAAGCCCGGGTGATAGTGAAAATTTCGATTTAGTGCAATTCGCCCAACCCTGAAAGATATATACATAGCACCTATATGCAACTGCTGGATGTCCTACAAAAGTATAGGGCTGATATTACCGCAGTATTGGAAATTCGTAGAATGATGCACAAATTTTGGTGTGGACTTGTAAATGGGCGAAAACTTGTCTTCAGTGCTGGGATGATGATTCCACCTCGTCATCCTCTTATTTGCTGATACAGGAAGAATCAGGAAAGATTCCCAACTTTACGATGAACGCACAAAGACCCTGGCAGAACCGCCACCAACAGGGAGACAACAGAAAGATCTTGCAATTGCGTATGTACGAGTTTTTACCGGGCGCTGGCTGAGCTTACACGAGGCCACACCTATCCGGTGCTACTGTTTCAAGAGTGCACTTCCTTGCAAAGTCATCAGCCATGCAGTTTTTCGCAATGTCACTGTGACCCGGCACCCAAATTAGCCTGTTTAAAAAATACTTAATTAGATTAACTTTATAGAAAATCGTACTACCTTTATCGTTGCCCTAACAATAACCATTGTAGCAACACGTCGATAGTCAAACATTATTTTACAAGCAAAACTTTATGATTTTAAATGCAGTTAGTATTTCGGAACGCCTCTATTGTAGGCCTTCGAATGCTGGTGCAAGTTCAGAGATTGTTTTTTTTTTTTGTAGTGTTGTCCGACCCCTACTAATGTACACACTATTCTTTTTGCTATGCAAATTAATGTGCTGCCACCTACATACGTACAAACGTAGGTATGCTATGTATTGGAATACAAAAGAAAAAATGCCTAACTATGCTACTTACATACACAATTTTTTATTTTGTCCGCAAAAGAATAGTGTTTGCCGGCGATGATCACCGGATTCATTTGTTGCCTCATCCTGATTGAATGTACATAATATACTTTTGGTTTTTATGCATGTGTCTATATCCATATTCATGAATTCGTCCGAAGGTCGTGGTGGTGCCATATCACCCAACTTAGCCTTCATATCTATGTAATACCATTCGGCACGAATATAATAGTGCCAACTAATGACACGATCGATAGGATGTCGAACCAAATTAATATAAATGGGTCTGGGTAAGTGAAAGCGCGTAAAATTCAAATAGGCCAAATGTTGAGAGTAGGCATGTGGTTTTTGCTTTCCTAAAATCTCGACTGCCAATTCCCGCTGGAGATGTGGTGCCAACAGGACAGTCTCGTAACGCTTGCCAGCATCGCGTGATGCTTTATAACCGTGGAGTCGACCCAAATGTGACATAAGTTCCATTAAAGATTGACTACCCACTTTGGCTACCCGATTAAAGAATACCATATCTATGTCAGCCTTCTTTGTATTATTTAATTCGTCAGCGCTAAGGCCCCACTCTGGAGTATCTTCATGACTTTCATCATTTTCATATGCATCGTCGAGCGATTCTTCATATTCGTCATTATTGCGAGCATTTTCTCCATTTTGCTGACGACGATGCTGATGATGACGTTGTCGATGATGATGCGGACTATGCTTTTGCTCGCGTTGCTCTTCAATATTCTCATTGCTTCGTGCGTGAACTTCATTATGACGAATACGTGGTCTACGCTGTTTGTGGGGAGTGATTGAATGGCGATAATGAAGTTTTGCATTGATTTCGAGGAATTTAATTAATTTTTGTTTCTTTGCTTATAATGAGAGCGATTTGAACCATAACCGTTTACAGGTTTACCACCATTATACATATCTACGTACATATATGAACACAGAAAGATGTAAGGACTATGTGTAAACAAAATGATAGCGCACTACATTGAAAGAATTTACTTGCAAACATTAAGTAGGAAAGTTTGCAAGGAAAATCATTGAGCCGTATGAATAAAATTTAAAGCAATTGCTTTTTCTGAAAATTTCACCCCTTTTACTCAAGATTATTTCTATAATAAATCCAGTAAAAGGTTTGAAATTTCAGAAAAAGCAATAGCTTAGTTTTTCTTCATACGACCCATTGTGTGAAATATTTTAAAAGACAAAGAGTTACACACAAAAGTGAAATTGTAAAATGTAAGCATTTAAGGTAATGCAGTAGCATAAAAAAGAACACTCAAGCATGAATTACCGGCCTTATAGCCTATTTCCACCAAAAGCTTAACTGCAGTTAAGAGCGTAATTGGCAAGTTACGTGTGTATTTCTCACTTTTTGCTTTTTTTCTTTTCGTTTGCTTTTACCTACGAGTAATATGAGCAATTGCTCTTTCGAATTGCAATCCACTGCATTTTCCAGTAGGCATAAACTGCAGTTAAGGCTTGGTGGAAATCCGCTATTAAAAAAAATCAGCATTTAATGACAATTTACCTAGTTTTTATTGTATAAAAATAAATTAAAAATTTTGAGTATTTTATAATATGCAGTAGCCATCACTTTTTGAAAACTCTAAAAAATACATACATTTTTTCTGTGTTGGTGAGGCAGTCCCTCGTCAAGATTCGAGGTCTGGCGTGTGTTTGCATTGCTGGATGTATATCTGGAACTCGAGCCACTGCATCGAAAAGGCTGCAAAGCGAACTCTCCAAAATTCATGAAAAGGGCTATGGCAACTATAAGATCTTATCATCTAGGAACATGGACAAGCTAGGCTCCCAGCTCCCATTAGTTCTGCTCCTGAGAGATGACATGCATAGAGTAGTATTTTTCTAAAGAAACTTTAAAAGCTGATAAGTAGGTACATAAAGCAAGGCGACCGGGAGTACCTATTTTGTATAGAGACACGTTCAGGCGAGCACACTACAGTGGCACACAGACCCCTGCGGGTATTAGATCAGGCGTATACATATTGCCCCAGAATGAAGCTTTTGGTGCCCCTGAGAAGCTTTCCCAGCATTTTCCAAGCGGAAGTCTATTATATCAATGAGTGTTCAGAGATCAGCCTTAACGGGAATTATCGAAGTGAGAGGATCCTAAGTGGAAGTACGGGGTCAAATCCTCAGTGGTCGCACAGTATGCTTAATTCCCTGGATACCAGGGCACATGGGAGTCGAAGGAATTGAGGAAGCTGATCATTTGGCCAGAATGGCTGCTGCCTCGACCACGATAGAACTTTAGCCTTTGAAGAAACGCTGAGAAAGGAAAGAACGAAACGTTGAGAACTGCACTGGCGTAACATAATGGGTCTTTGTGAAGCTAAAAGCTTCCTAAAAGGGCACAGTATTCTGATGGAGCTCCCTAAGGAGGAACTAAGAATTGTTACACTCATTTTATGGGCCATTGTAGGCTGGTCTAGTCAAGCGACCTGCACACATATGTCACTTCTGTAGCCACGCCTCGAAATGTGAGGCCGCTTCACATACAAATCTTTTGCATAGAGCCACCAGCGCTCTCATATGCACCGAATTTGTCTTTCCACAAAGACGGATTGCCGTCTTTGTCTTGCAGAGCAGGAGACGTCGAAGCACATTCTGTGTGATTGTCCGGCATTGAGAAGACTAAAAGCTCAACCAGCCACCGACGGAGCGCCATTCCGTACTTGCCGTCCGTATCAACATATGAAATTGCTATTGTTGGACAGAGAGAGAAGCAATGACAACATCACCGTCATGCAGTGATGAGATTTCATTAACACGATAATCCCATAAGATAGGTCGTGTCAGGTGACACAGTCTACGGTTTTACGTCGGTGGCTGGTTGAGCTATAAGACTTCCATACCTCAGTTCTTCCATAGTCGAAGCCGTAGGTATCAGAAATTCGTCTATCAATAACTTATTTCCATCTATTCGGGAGGTGGATATTATTTTCAGCCGTCAGTGTTAAGAACTGTCATAGAGATACTAAAGATCTTATCGGTCGCGGTGACTTGTTTCTATTTGCACCCATTAAGATTAAATTACATCCCACGTGTAAACATTTTATTCGATTGCTTAGAGCTTTGAAAACTTCCCAGAATGTAAAATGAGAAGCTTTAAAAAACGCTTTCAGACCGACCATAAACCTTTTTAAATGGCGTCGTAATCAAGACGCTCTGATCGAGAGTTAAAGTTTTTAGGCAAAATAGCAGCATACCACTTGCCTGGCATCCATATTGAAGCAGTTGTCATTTTAACAATATATAAAACTTTAACACAAGCAAAATTTGAAGTTATCTATTTATTTTTAAAGCTACATAATTATAAAATATTGTCTCTTTAAGTGAGTAATTAGTTTTTTTGCTGTGTGGTCTTGCAACAAATTTGCGATAAAAATTTGCACAAAAATACAAACATATGATATTTTATACTAAATACATACGATAATTACATAATATTTAATGTCTCAGTAATTTAATAGCAATATATTGCTTATAAAGACGTTGTTTACAAAAATTATAAAATTCAATTTCATTAGTTAGATTTTTATGTAATATTTCACGAACTTGCTGTGACACACTTGGTTTGATAGAATTTCTATTAACTTGATGCAGACGATTTTCAGGTTCTGAAATTTCAAATAAAATAAAAATAATCGCGTAAAAAAGCCACTAATTAACGAAAAGGTCCCACTGTGCAACAAAATGAGACGAATAAAAAAAACACGAATGCGATATGCAATTATGAAAGTCACAATTTTTTTTTTACAGTGCATTAAAGTTTTCCTAATTTAGTTCCAAATTGATCTAAATTTTTTAAAAAATCGCGCATAAAACTGTATTAAAAAAATAAAAGTTAGTAACTGATTTATATTGATGACTTTTAAAAGTAAAAGTCACTGACTGAGTTTTATTTATGACTCTTATAAATAAAAGTCTACCATAACTGTAATCTAAGACATATACTTTTAAAATCAAAACTAACTGTTATTTGCATATTATTTAGATACAAATCAAAAATAATTGTTATTTTGGAGTCGTAAAATAAAAGGAGTAATTAAATAAAAGTCAAAAAATAATTGTTAAAGAGCGATATTACTTTTAATAAAAGTTGTAGCTGTTACGGTCTCTGGAAAAAACGCCTGGTGGTTCAATGTTCTAGAGCTTTTCATCTATCGTGGTCGCCATACCGCACTCGTGTCTTTTTTTTTTGCTCGACTGTCGCACAGTGTTATCATTGCAATTTAGAATAAAAGTTTTATAGAAAAAAACATTTTTATTTGCATATGCAAAAGTACATGCATACATACATACATACATGTATTTAAGACAATAGAACGACGACAATAATTTTGAATAACTATTTATTGTTCAATATTTGGAGAAAAGCTAATTAGTATAAGTTTATGACTCCTATTGCTACGGGGACCATTCGTACCAATTTTAGCGGGACAGTACCGATTTTGAGAACATTTTCCGGCTGAATATTTTTTTAAAAACGGAACATATAAGTGTCCCGATTTTTCATATTTATACCGATTATGTCCCGATTTTCGATTATTTAATGTTTATTATTTTTTATGAAAGTATACATAGCTAACTATATAACAAAACCCATGTAAATCAAACAGTGTACAAAAATTCACAAAATTCGACAAAGTTTCATCAAAATTTTTAGCTTTTTAATTAGATTCCTTAGATATATTCTGAGTATGCAATTTTGTAGCCCATTCAATTTTAGTAGTGAAGTGCAAATTTTAAGTTGCTAGGACTTATCGTTGCGGTCATTTTTTTGTGGAAGGTGTTGCTCATTTTCTCCATAGAAAAAATTGTCTAAACATATTTTGCCTTGAAGAAAATGCGCGAACAAAAAACAGCCTTTAGTTCTTTTGCAAAAAAAGCATGCTACTATCGAAGAAACTCGATAAATAAATTTAAAAAAAAGTTGTGAATGGTTAAATGAAAATGAGTTACGATTTTTCGTATGAAATTAGACCAGGAAATTATGTTACTCATACGCCGTGTACGACGATATTATTTTTAAAATTTTTTCCCTGTTAAAGGGCTCTCTGCAATGCTGCGATGGAAAAATCACAAGAAATATGTTCCATTATTTCTGTTGCTTGAAAAAGCACTTTGCTTTTGCTGTTAATTTTCTTGTAGCAATAAATATACGAGCATATTTTTCTTGAGAGCTGTAAACTAATTTCATCAATTTTAATAGAAGAAAATTTCCTTTCCATTTCTTGTGCCTCGTTTTATATGGTTTTTTCGATTTTTATTTTTTGATAGCTGTATAGAGCCCTTAAATTTTAAATTATTTTCATTCCTAATGCAAACTTAAAGTGAAAATATCTAATCTCGAAAATCCGTTTATAGATCCGTGACGTACGAGCCATAATCAGGTTGACGTGTGTCGGCGTATTTGTGTTATTTGGCCTCTAAATTGTTAAATTATATGTAGCTAAAATTATTCACAAAAGTTTTAAATTTAAAAAAAAAAACTTTTTGCGAGTCAAACCATTTTTACTTTTGGTTTCCATGTATTTGCCTTGGGCGGAAGATAAATTTTCGGGTGAATTTTTTTTTCGGGCGAAACTCAGGGTAAGGTAGAATAATAATTATTAGGCACTTTTAAGGGGAAAAAATAAAAATCATAAAATAGTAATTAATTACTTATTTAAATTATTTTACTTATAATGATTACTGTCCCTGATTACTTGGTATCCCAAATTAAACCTTGAACTAAACCAAATCTGTAGGTATGTATGCATATATGATGCCCTGCATATATATATATGCATTTTGCTTAGTTTTCATTAAAACTAGAATGGCAGTTCGATTAGGGTAAAATTTATGCTTCAAAGACATTGAAAACGACGAACCACAGGTCACAGCTGCCAATTTTTTATCTTCAACGTTTTGTCGATGGCGACATTTGAACACTTTTTGGACGTAGCATCGACAACTTGAATTTTTTATGAATTTGGCATGAAAAAAGGGAAAGAACCTTATCAGTCGCTAGAAAAATATAAATACATACATAAGTAGATCTAATGTAGCCACAACCAGTGTTGCCATTGAAAGTTTTCAGAAAGTCGCAAAAAAGGGGTCATTGATGAAAAAAGGGGTACCATTTTATTTTTGCTTTTCTTTACTAGTTAAAAAAATAAATCTGTTGAATTTAAAAATAAAATAGTGGGACAAGCTTTTCACAAAACAGGATTGCAAACATACACATAAATCGAGAAGAGTTACATTTCCCTTCAAAGTTTTAAGTGATGCATTTTTTCGTACTTACAAGAGGAAACAATTTTTAATAGCATGGTTTTGTTAAAATTTCCTAAAAAATCTCTGAAAAGGGCCAAAAGTCGCACATAATTTTGGAAAATAGTCAAAAAATCTAAATTTTCAAAAGGTCGGTTCAAAGGGTATTGGCGCTTAAAAAGGGTCAAATTGCCCCTTTAGTCGCACAACGGCAACACTGGCCACGACCACACTAATTATCTGCATAAGAGTACGCGTTAAAACAATTTGACAGCTGGCGCCCGTAGCCCATCGTTTTCAATGCGTTTCAAGCATAAATCTTTAACACTGGGCGCGTTTCTTTATTCATTCCGGATCTAGAATAGAATAGTCGTAGTTTATCCGGAACAATGGCAATAAGGAATGAGAAAGGAATGAAGTTCTTAGGAACCAGCTAGAAAATAACCTTTTGGTGATTATTAATATTTAATTTAATTTTCTAACGGTTGTTTCGTAAACGATTTTTCAAAAACTTACTTGGTTTCCCTAGCTCCATTATTTTCATGCAATTGTTTACATTTGTACGTATGTATGTATATGCGTAACAGCTGTTCAGCAGAATATTCTATAAATTTCATGTTAGAGACGGAATAAGAAGAATGAGTTTAGATTAACCGGTACGATACTATCCGGAACGTTCTAACGAAAAAGTAAACATTAAAATTTATTCCGAACGTCGAAACACGCCCAATAATATTTTCTATTCGTTCTTTTGCCATTCTAAAGTAGGGTTCACACGATTAGTACATTTTTACAGATTTTGTACATCTTAACAGTTACAGAGTTGGTTTGTTTTTGTTTAGTTGAACTCATTCTCGATGCAAATTCTTAGACAACACCACTCTATGTGACTGCCAAAATGTACAAATCGTGTGACCCCTGCTTAAGGTTAAATAAATGTTCAGATAAAATATTATCAAATGTCGTTTATTACTGTAATAAGTCTCTGTTGCTCCGGCAAAGAACCTCGGTATGTAATGCTCCAGCACTGTCAGTGTAATATTAGTCTCCTCCCAAGTACCAATTACCGCATAATGATTTTCAACATTTCGTTTTGCCTGTTGCATTGCCTTGTAGGAATTGAATGGCCTAAATATACATAAGCAAAAATATATGCAATTTCTGATACATATAAAATAGTCATTGCCTGTTAGCAATTTAATAAAAAAACTATATTTTCGACTATGAGGTTCACGTGGCTGGATCAATAAGTTCATGACTTTTTAATGAAAGACTGTTGTTTAACAACGATTCATTTTTCAACATAGCTTCATTTGACCTCTGTGCATTGCGTCCAATACTTATCAAATCTTTACATGCCCTCCAACCTTTTTTTTGGCCAAATGCGATCGTATATTCTTCTTCCTTGAACCGATCCAGTATGTTGGCATATTATCAGCCATTTTTTATTTAAGCCGTTTCAAGGAAACAAGTATGTACGCGAAGGATGTGGCAGTTTCAGTGACGCGCAAATTTTTGCATACGCTCTACGGCTTAACTCAAGGATACTTCAACCTAGTGACTAGGCTTGATTCTTGATAGGAAGCCTAATATCGAGGAGAGAGCAAGGAATGCTTCTAAGGCTGCATAGAGACAACAGGCAAGAGATGAGGCCAAGGTTATTTCCTGACTCTATGAAGTCGTCGTCTGGTGGCATGCACTGGAGAAGACTACGTTAGTTAATATGTTGGGTCGACACAACGAGCTGCCCTCATTTCAATCAGTTGGATAATTAGGAGCACTCCCACGCTAACTCTTAAAGTCATGCTTATAATATCGCCTATCGATATCCCTGATAATGCGGATCACTGCCTGACTAGCCTAGCACCAGCTAGCTCTTTCTCCACACAGATCCCATTAAGGGATGAGTGGGTGGAGGGCCGGGGTTAGATGCAGACATCGGTGAACTTTACACGGTTGGGTCGAAGCTTGTCGGAAAGGTCGGTGGATGTGTCTTCAGGCTTCCAGATCACAGTAGTGTTATTCTGCTGCTATTAATGAAGCAGTGGATTGGCTGCTGTTGCGATGGCAGAAAGGGAGGTTAGCATCTACTCAGACAGCCAGGCGTTTATTACTGTAATAAGTCTCTGTTGCTCCGGCAAAGAACCTCGGTATGTAATGCTCCAGCACTGTCAGTGTAATATTAGTCTCCTCCCAAGTACCAATTACCGCATAATTTTCAACATTTCGTTTTGCCTGTTGCATTGCCTTGTAGGAATTGAATGGCCTGAATATACATAAGCAAAAATAGATGCAATTTCTGATGCATATAAAATATTCAAAGCTTGTTGGGGAAGGCCCTAATTCAATATTGGTTGCGTCAGTATATTAACTTGTCACTATCTACTTCTTCTTAATTGGCGCTGTAACCGCCTAAGCGATTTTGGCCGAGT